TGGTTGAAAATATTTGAAAATGGTTGCGAGAGAATGGCATGGTTCACCTATTTTCACCTGCTCCCAGGATCTAGGCATCTCCAGGCTAGGTTGGATCTGTTCTCTGCCTGCGAAGCTCCGCAGTGGACAGACTCCGCAACAGCGCAGCCAAACGCCTTGCTCCAGAAGCAGAAAGGCCAAGAGCCGCCTTGCAGACTCGCATCAACCACGCGGCAAATAGAAAGCCATGAGATGATGAGATGCTATCACTGCAGCAGTTTTCTCAAATTAGCTTTACTGATTTGGTTTTGACCAAACCTTCAGATCCTTTGCCGCGGCCACATCAGCAGTCTTCACCTTATAACAGTGCCAGTGTCATGAGACTGAAGGGCCCCAAAGTGACTAGTGGTCCTCTGCCATAACGTAACACATCGCAACACATCGTAACACATCAAGCATTTCAATGTCAGGCAGTGCCAACATCTAAGCATTGCACGTCCTCAACATTTTGGTGACCTGACGATCGAGGTCGTGCATCAGGTCTGCCACCCAGTGTTGATGAAAATAGAATGATATTGTTAGCAGTTTCTGCATCTTTGGTCCGACCCATGCTGGTCATAGCACTTTGCATCCTTTTTTAGGAGCTGGGGTTCTCTGGATACTGGATTCCCGATGATTGTCATTCTGATTGTCACTATCATTATCATGATTACTACGAGAATCAGTTGTTGATTTTTGCTGATGATGATGATGATGATGATGATGATGATGATGATCAAGGGAGAGGAACAATATCTACATCTGCAGGGCGCGACTTCGCAAGTCAACCTCTCAGCATAGAAACCATGCCTGGTGATTGGTCAGCACCAGCAACCTGCGGAGATATCCGCAGGTAACAGTTGCATCACTTCACAGCCAGCTGCGTGATACCACAACTTTTTGGCCACCAGACTCCTACAACTCCTACAACCACCATCAACCACCATTCGTTCCATGTTCCATCCCAGCCTCTAGTTGCATGGGGTCTCGAGCCGCGGAGTTCAATGGCAGATTCATTGCTTTGATCTCGTGGAGATCGAAGCCACGCGACCGAAGTTCGCTGTGCACTGCCTGAGTCACAAAGAAACGGAGAAACCAGGATCAACCTCCCGTTACGTCTACAGAAGTGCTGTATGCAAGCAGGATCCAGCAGGTAAACAAAGTAAACATAGGATAAGTATAGCCATGCAAGTAGAACACACACTCCAACCACTTCTACATTCAAGCAGCATAGCCATGTGGCCATTCACTGATTCCAACCATCAAGACGACACATTCCATGCCCGCTGCAGCCATGGAGCTCGCAAAAGTTGTCGCTGAAGTCCCACCCTCTCGCGCTCCTGCGCGGAGACCTGCAGGGTGAGCTGGAGCAACTTGAGCCTCGAAGATCCTCATGAAGTTGTGTTTGGTGTGCTCTACATGTGCGAGGAACATGCAGAAACTGATGTGTAGTCATCCCATACCGGCAGCATCCGGCAGCCAAAAGCAATATGTCTGATGAAGCTGCATAGCCTGTAAAGCAGAAAAGCTGGTCTAGCATTCCTCTCCTAATGTCTACTGCTTTATACAGTGTGGTTATGAGTCAAAATCCTGGAACCCTACCCTAAAATAGCTGGCATAGCTGGATGGTTATTTCAGTCATATGGAAATTTCATAGGTCTTGGCCCATCCCCCATGCCATCTCCGGCGCCTCTTGGAGGGCAGACACTTGGAATGCTTTCAAGGTCTCCTTGCTCAAGTTGCTCCTGGAATCGAACACAACGGCAGAGATGAAGCCCAAACCGCAAGTTCAATAGGATCGGCACTTCACAAAGAAGCCAACATATATAAATTACTGTATTGATTTATGTGTTTATGTGCTCATTTTTTGATTTGATTTATTCATGTACTTTTTTGATTATTGATTTATATATTCATGTATATCTATTTATGCATGTGTTCATATATTCATATATTTAATTATCTATGTATTCATGCATTTATTTGTGTATTTATTTATCATTCATTTACCTATCTATCTATTTTTGAATTCACTAATTTGTTCATTTATGTATTTACTTACTTCTCTATTCATGTTTATTATTTATTCATTTATCTATCTATTTATGTATTCGGTTATTCGTGTATTTATGTATGCATTTATTTATCTATTCCTTTATGTATTTATGCATTCATGCATTCATGCATGCATGCATGGATGCATTCATTCATTCATTTACTTATTTATTTATTTATTTTATTCATTATTTATCTAGTCTATCATTATCTATAATTATCTATATATTAACATGCAGTTGAATGGCCAATGTCCATATCTCCAACAAAGGGAATCAGGTCTCCTCTTCACAAATGTCCGAAATCGCTGTTGCCTTAGATTTGGCACACTCAACTTAGCGTCACAATGCTGATCCAATAGAGCTGTCTGGTCTTTTGTTGTGAGCATAAAAGTGACAAAAATAGCAGAAGTTGTGTTTGAGTGCTGCTTCTGCCCTACTCACATCCACCTGCAACTACTTTTCATCTTGTCACTTGACCAGCGGCGTTGTTGCTCGGATTAAAAAAAGAAACTGATTGCAGAAATTGGCTCCCTTTAGACAATTTTGCTCCGGCATATTGAGATGCTCACCGATTTTGGACCTGGAAATCCAGTTTTCCAAGCCATCCCTGGCCATCCCTTTCCAGTGGTCAAGGCACATTTTGACTGCCATCTCCAAAACGCGTGACGTCGGGGAATAGACTGCGCCAAGCTTCGAATGAAAGGAGGACCTAAAAGCTAGAGAAATCTCAGGTTCCAACCTGAGCAACGGCCAGTACTTTCCCGCACCATGGACAACCCCCAACAGAAAAGAAAAGTGGCTAACCAAAAGACAATGGAACATTGATTTGCTTGTGTTGTCACTATCTCAGTGGTATAACATGGTCTAAGTATGTATAACTTCTGAATTCTGCTCTGAAATATCAGAAACAAGGTGGGCCAGAGAACCCAAAAGCAAGACGGCACAGCACGTTTTTTTTTTAAATGTGGTGTGGGCAGCTGTGCTCTGCAAGAAATCGACGTAAGATCTTTACTGAAACATCGTGCGCACTGATGGTATCAAAGGCTGCAATTCACCACAGCATGCTGTGTCAGCTAGGAGCGTGGACGGACAGAACACTGTGCGAAATGAAAACTAAACGACGGAGGGAGGTGACCAGAAGAGCATGAAAACGAAGATATGAAGATGACAGATGGTGAATGATAATGAAAATGAAACATGATAAAAGATGGGTAAAGACTTCTCCGTGCAAAAGTTTCTATGAGTAAAAACTACTGTGTAAACGCGTCTGTGCGTACAAGTTTCTTGGTATAAAAATTCCTCTGTGTAAAGGTTTTCTGTGAAAAAAAAATTGTACGTAAAAGCTTTTGTGGGTGAAAATTTCTCTGTGTAAAGGTTTTTTGTTTAAAAGTTTCTGTGTGTAAAAGCTCCTCTGTGTTGCGGATTTTTTGTGTAAAAGTTTCTGTGTGTAAAAGTTTCTCTGTGTAAAAGTTTCTCTGTATAAAAGTCTGAGTGTGCAAGCTTCTCTGGGTAAAAGTTCCTTTGTGTAAAAGTTCCTCTGTGAAAAAACTGTTCTGTGTAAAAGGTTTCTTTGTGTAAAAGCCCCTGTGTGTGCAAGCTTCTCTATGTAAAAGATTCTGTGTGTAAAAGCTTCCCTGTGCAAGCCCCCCCGTGTGTAAAGACTCCTCTGTGTAAACCCGTCTGTGTGTAAAAGCTCCTCTGTGTAAAGGTGTCTTTTGTGTAAAAGTTTCTGTGTGTAAAAGTTTCTGTGTGTAAAAGTTTTTGTGTGCAAAAGCTCCTGTGTATAAAAAATTATTTGTGTAAAAACTTCTGTGCATAAAAGCTCCCCTGTGTGTACAAATTTCGCTGCGTAAAAGCTGCTCTATGTAAAAGTCCTGTGCGCCGTAGTGAAGTTGTCTGTTTGTAAAACCTTCTGTGTGTGAACGCGTCTGTGTGTACAAAGATTCTGTGTGCAAAAGCTCCTCTGTGTAAAGACTTCTCTGTGTAAACGCGTCTGTGCGTAAAAGCTTCTCTGTGTAAGACTTCTCTGTGTAAAAGCTACTCTGTGCAAAAGGTTCTGTGCGTAAAAGGCTTCGGTGTGCAAAAGCTCCTCTGTGTGTAAACGCTTCTCTGTGTAACCGCGTCTGTGCGTAAAAGCTCCTCTGTGTAAGACTTCTCGGTGTAAAAGGCTTCTGTGTGTAAAAGCTTCTTTGTGTAAAAGCTTTCCTGTGTAAAAGTTTCCTTGTGCAAAATTGTGTAAAATCTTCTCTGTGTAAAGGCTTTTTTGTGCAAAAGCTTCTGTGTAAAAGTTTCTGCGCGCCGTAAGAGCCTCTATTTGTAAAACCTTCTGTGTGGGAAAGTGTCTGTGTGTAAAAGCTTGTGTGCGTAAATCTCCTTGTGTAGGGACTTCTCTGTGTAAAAGCCCCTCTGTGTCAAGACTTCTCTGTATAAAAGGCTTCTCTCTGTAAAAGCCTCTGTGTGTACAGGCTTTTCTGTGTCAAGACTTCTCTGTGTAAAGACTTCTCTGTGTAAAAGCTACTCTGTGCAAAAAGCTTCTGTGCGTAAAGGCTTCTGTGTGTAAACGCATCCTTGTGTCAAGACTCCTCTGTGTAAACGCGTCTGTGTGTCAAAGTTTTTCTGTGTAAAGGCTTTTTTGTGTGAAAACTTCTGTGTAAAAGCTTCTGTGTGTAAGAGCTTCTCTGTGTAAAGGCGTTCCCGTGCAGAAGCTTCTGCGTGTAAAAGCTTCTGTGTGTGAAGCTCCTCTGTGCGTAAACGATTTTTGTGCGTAAAAACTTTGTGTGCAAAAACTCCTCTGTGTAAGACTTATCTGTGCAAACCTATCTGTGCATAAAAGCTCCCTCTGTGTAAGACTTCTCGGTGAAAAAAGTTTCTCTGTCTGTGTAAAAGCTTCTGTGTGTAAAAGCTTTCCTGTGTAAAAGCTTCCTTGTGCAAAAGCCTCTGTGTGTAAAAACTTCTGTGTGTAAAGGCTTTTTTGTGTAAAAGCCGCTCTGTGTAAAAGCTTCAGTGCGCCGTAAACGCTTCTGTGTGTAAAACTTCCTGTGTGTAAACGTGTCTGATCGTGTCTGTGTGTAAAAGTTTCTGTGTGTAAATCTCCTTTGTGTAAGAAAGACTTCTCTGTGTAAAAGCTCCTCTGTGTAAAGACTTCTCTGTGTAAAAGACTTCCCTCTGTAAAAGCCTCGGTGTGTACGAGCTTGTCTGTGTCAGGACTTCTCTGTGTAAAGACTTCTCTGTGTAAAAGCTGCTCTGCGTAAAAGCTTCTGTGCGTGGAGGCTTCTGTGTGTAAAGCTCCTCTGTGTGTAAACGTTTCTGTGTGTAAAAGCTGCTCTGTGTAAAAGTTTCTTTGTATAAAAGCAGCTGTGTGTAAAAGCTCCACTGTGTGTACAAGCTTCTCTGTGTAAAAGCTCCTCTGTGTAAAGACTTCTCTGTGTCTGCGCGTACAAGCTTTTCCGTGTAAAAGCTACTCTGTGTAAAACTGCTGTGTAAAAGGCCTCTCTGTGTAAAAGCCTCTGTGTGTGCAAGCTTCTCTGTGCCAAGACTACTCTGTATAAAGACTTCTCTGTGTAAAAGCTTCTCTGTGTAAAACCTTTCCTGTGTAAAATTTTCTCTGTGTAAAAGACTCTGTGTGTAAAGTCTTCCCTGTTCACAAGCTTCTCTGTGTAAAAGATCCTCCGTGTAAAGCTTCTCTGTGTAAAGCTCCTCTGCGTAAAAGCTGCTCTGTGTAAGCCCTGCGAACAGCTCCGCATTTTCAGCGCCGCTCCCTCCCAGCAGAGCTCTTCCCAAGCTATTTCCCCACCTGTCCGTTCACGCTGATGCATATCCTATGCTTGGGTTCTCGTTTAGTTTGCTTCGCTGCCAAGGGAGCGAAAACCAAGCATCGACGGACAGAACGCCGTGCAATATGAAAACCCCTCCAGCAAGGAACTTTTTCCCATGCATGTCTGGCATGTCCCTTTATCCTTTGCCCAGCGTTTAGACACCGTTTGGGAAGTCTTTGACACCAGTTTTTCGGGACAATCACGTTGATGGAATTTGTCGTGAAAAATCCGTGCCAACAGCTCTGCTCTTTTAGTCTTGCTCCCTGCCAACGAAGCTATGCATGTCCCATGGCCCGGTTTGGAAACTTTGGCTGGTCTTGGGCGCACAGTTTTTCGGGACAAAGGTAGTGATGAAATTTGTCCTGAAAAACCCGTGCCAACAGCTGTGCATTTTTTGGTGTCGCTCCCTGCCAACGCAGCTATACATGTCGCCTCGCCCAACGTTTGCAAACCACTTGAAAAGTCTTGGGCGCGCAGTTTTTCGGGACAATCGCATTGATGGAATTTGTGAAAACCCGTGCCAACAGCTCTGCTTTCCACTATGTGGCTTCCTCCCAACGGAGCTCTCCCCAAGCTATTTCCCACGGTTTCCCATCCGTCCACCATGTCGTCGCGTCCGTATCGCTCCCCCCGTGGCAAAGTAAGCTAAACGAGAACCCAAGCATCGGAGATGCTTCTGGGAAAAATCGACAGCCAAGTTGCTGCAGCAGTTTTTTCAGCTCCGTGGTTGTCAGGGGCATCGGGTTGGATCTTGTTTCGTTCCGTAGACGCGCAGAGGCGGCTGCCACTGTCTGATCCGAGGATGTCAGAGTAATCCAGGGGGGTTTGGGATGTGGCACGGAGATGCATTGAGGCAAATGCACAAATTGAAGATGATTCATTGAAGATGCAAAAATCAACAAAAAATGGAAAATTCTGAGGTGAAACACAACAATACGACTAATACATATATATCTCTTGGAGAATACTGAACTAAAAATTGGATGTGGCTCTCCATTTGCTTGCCTGTTGGGGCCGCATTGTGGAATCTGATCAGTCTAGCTCCGACAGAATCTTAGTTGCTTTATGTTGCTTTAGAATGGCCCTGTCGGGTCCTGCCTGAGTCAACGCAATGTGCCAATCGATGGCTTTGGCCAAGACCAGAGTGCGGCCTGTCCTGATGGTGAAAGAGCTGTAGCTCAGTTGGACGAAGTACCTTCAGCTGCGAGGCTCTCCACAGCTTTCCCTTGAAACCTTACCCCAATTTTTTGTGACTGGATCTCTATAGTGACTCTGGTGAAATCATGATCATCATGTCAACCCGCGTGCCTCACAACACCATTGCTGGCACGAGCTGCATAGACACCTCACAAGTCGGCCGCCTTGCCGAACATCACCACTCAACACCCCAGTCTGCCACGCTTTTAAAGGAAGGGCCCAATGGTGAGTTCTCAGTTTGTCAAAAATCTTTAGATTCCCAACTCACCATTGGTTGATTCCCATCTGATTCCCAATGGTTGATTTTTGGAAGGGCCCAATGGTTTCCCAAAGATTCTGCAGAGTCCCAACAAAATCAACCAAGATCCAACGGATCCCACGGATCCCACGGATCCCACGGATTCGGACTGAAGCTTCGCCCAGTGACTCCTCTGCTCGGTGCGGATGCTTTCAGGGCGGGCTGCGCTCGGCGCCTTCTCGGCCTTCCGCGCCTCCCAGCGCCGCGCCGCCTCCAGGCCATCGTGGCCGTGGTGCTCCGCATCCGCGCGGACAGCCGCCTTCACGGACCTCAGCTGTGGAGCTGGTGGAAGCTGCTGGAAGCTGGTGGCACTTGCGGGAAAAGTTGGTGTATCGTGGTGTATCGTGGTCTAGATCAGGGCATCCTGAGGGATAGCTCAAATCTGAATTTCAATGAGTGGTCAATGCTCCCCCATTTAGCCACCAACAAATACCAACAATTCATACGCATGTCTTGTGAATCTGCGACGTGTCTCGCCAAAGCGACATAAAGCCCTTTGCACCCCAAGGACTCGCAAAGCGATAGTACTTTCTGCCCTTCAGCACTCCTGCAGCTGTCTCATTGGATTGAAATCAAAGAAAAAGTGCATGCTAAATGAACCAGAATTGCCAGGATCTAACAGGTCTCTTCATAGCTGAAAGGTATTCCAATTGATCTTGCAACATGCAGTCGACGTGCAGCAACACTAAGCACCACAAGTGTGGCTCCAACCTGACTTGTAGGTCTGCTCAAAGCATTCCCAGCCTGAACTCACACTGCGTCAGGTATAAGATGAGCACCAGCATCACTGACAGGATTTGGGCATCACAGCATCCCTCAGTAAGCTCTGCCTGGTGGTAGACCCTCTGGAGCTTCTACTTTCCGCGGAGGTCCTTCCACATCATCCTGAGCATAGGCTGAAAACACTGTTCCAGAAACTCACAGCAATCCCATCCAAAGAATCAGAATCCGGCCCTTCAAATTTATCAAATTCTGAGGCTTGAAATGCTTGAAATGTTTAGAACCATCTACAGATCTACAGGAAATTCAGATCTGCATCAAGCCCTGCCCGGCCTCAGCTGCCTCAGCTGGCACCTTCTTCCTGCTGTTGGGTGCCAGTTGGGCAGCCAACATTTGGAGAACTTCTGAGCTCGCAACCTGAGTTCTGCAGCATTTCTGATCGCTCACTACTGCTGTGGCCAATGTTCACGAAGCTAACATGACATGACATGAAGTCTACTACAAATCATAGATGATATAGATGCTCGTGCAGGAGCCTCCAGCGATGAAGCCCAAGCGTTCGAGCCCTGCTTCAGTGCTGTGGAGATCAAGTCCAGTTCCATGATACGTGCCTCGGGTTCGGATGGGTTCGGAGCATTGGAAAGTTCAGCATGGCACATCCAACATCACCATCACCTTTAGCCCCATCCTTTCTCTCTGAAAATCTTCACTTCCTGTGATTCCAGTGGCATGGAAAACCGTTTCCCAAATTTTTCACTGAGGTTGTCATGGTAGTTCTGCTTAAGTCAGCTCCCACCTGATATCATCTGATCCTGATCCGATCCAGTCTGCAGCTGCAGCTGCTGCAGCTGCTGCAGCTGAGATTCTTCACCCTGAAGGACTTTGGATCTACTGGGACCCACCTGGTGGACCTCAGCTTGTGACTGGCTGGCACCCAAGCCATCCCGGCTAGCTGTCTGCTGCAGCACTTGGTCGTAGTCTCCTGCGAAAAAAAAAAACTGTGCGAAGCTCAAACCCTTGGCAACCTTGTTCTATGAAACTTTGAAAATCTTTGAAATGTCTCAACCAAGCATCTTGTGTTGCCCAATCAAGTTGGGATCACCTGAAGCATCTGAAGCATGACGACCCCTTCAGTGTAAATCTCCTCGTTTCTTGAGATCAGAGAGGACTTCGAAGGCGGCCACGAGCTTTTTGAACTCCTCTGGGTCTCCACCTTTATCCTCAGCGAAACGTCTATCGCACGTGCCGTAAGCATGCTTTCCAACATGCTTAGCTGACTAGCTATCCTATGCTATCCTCATAGGATGTGAAAGCAGCCCGAAGGCTCTTTCAAGTCAATTCCGACTCAAAGGTGCCGAGTGTCTGGATGCGTTTGCAATGCTCCCTTGCGATATGCCACACGAATTTCCACGTTGCTTGCTGCGCGAGCAATGCCCAAAACATCGTAATGGCCTACAGGCTCATCACCTTGAAAGTCAGAAAGTTTGAAGACATTTGAAGACTAAAGTGATGTGTGAAATGTGTGAACTGTGTAAAATGTGTGAACTGTGCCACTTCATTCCAGTTCATCACTAGACTAGAATCACAACGTCAAGTAACGACGTCTCTTTCGACTCGACCTCGGCGGTGTCCGCTGCGCTGATTCAGCTTCTCTTGGCTCCTTGGCCCAGTCAAGGGCACTGGTCAACGCCAAGGCCCATGGTCCACTGGCTTCACTGGCTCCACTGGCTCCACTGGCACCAGGTGCTTGGGAGGCTTGGGATGTGTCATGGGACGCTGACGCTGACGACGCTGAAGCCATCCGGCTCTGTACGCCCGCGACGGTCGCGACGGCCAGTGGTTCACTACCCGCCCGGCGAATTCGATTCTTGAGACTGTGCGGCCACGAAAGGTTTGATGTTTGAAGAGAAGAGACTGTATGATATGTATTTCATATGTGACATGGTCACAGAATCCTTGCCACACTTTGCGAAACAAGCGATGATATGAAGACCTCTCTTGATTGGGCACATGAACAGCAGGATTTTTATGGACATCATGGTCTCACTGCCGATTCACCTTCCCAGATCTTCCCAGCATTCAATGTGGATTCCAAGCAGACATCCCCATCTGGTGTGGCATGTCTGGTCCAAAGTCCTTCAGCTTTCCTCCGGTATTCCCTGAACATCCCTGAACTAAATCTGGTCCTGGATGGAAACGCTTCTCCTCCCAGTCAGAGAAGCGGGTTTAAAGAATGGCACATGTTACAGTGGTCTGACAAGAACCAGGGTACCAATATCTACCAACGATCTCCAAGATCTGGCTTGCAACCTTGTCTGCACTGCATGTGGTTTACAGTCTCTCTTTCTTTGCTACATCGTTCCCTGGTCAAATTTGGATTGCCATTGTTTTGGTGATCGGGACTTCGGCCTTGCCCTGCATCATGTCTTGCCAAATGAAATCACAAAAAGGTGAAATTTGAACGTACTGTAGATGCAAGATCCAACGGTGGTTGAGAAGCTTTACACAGTTGCTGGCTAGCAAGTCATGGTACTAAAACCATATGAACACCAGTCAAGTCATTTGAGCGAGAGCAACCAGCTCAGCACCTTCTGCTAAAATACTGCCTGGGATAGACATAATGCAAGGATAGAGCCTATATGAATTCACAAATTGCGGGGGTGCTTCAAAGGTCCCAATCAGCTGGATTAGAATTCTGCTTTAAAGCTGCCCGAAGGAACTCCAGGAGGTCTGAAGCTGCCTCGATCACTTCGAATTCTGGTAGCCGCCTGGTCAGCTTGAAGTTTGTCAAAAGGGAGTCTCTGTCTCTGCAAAACTTCTGCTCTCTGGAATGAACTTGGAACCCCTCAATTTATGTGAGCCAGAGACTGTAATGCAACATAATGCAACATTACAAGAAGCAATCAGCCCCGTCATCTTCAAAGGAGGACTTTATTCATCGTTCAATGCTGGCGCACCCTTCCGTCTTGTTCTTCTCCGTCAAGGTCCGCAGAGAGCTGCCCTGAGGATGTCATTCTTGAGACCATGCTGCGAGTGCCAGCATGTTGTGACAGGAAATGACTGGAATGCAATAAGTTCGTGAGTCCTACTGAGTCCTACGTAGCCTCGAAATGCTCGTCTGCAGGGTGTACACTCTGATGGATACTGTACAAACAACATGTTTTGGAATTGTAGAAGCATCATCCAAAACATTGAAATGACCCTCTGCCACAAGCTTCTGGTTCAGCACCGCCCCCCGAATCATCACAACTAATCACAACTACAGTTCTTCCATGGCCGCACAAGGACATCACACAGCCAGGTTCTGGACACTGCAGTGCCAAATCTTTGGGTCCTGGAAAGAGCTAAACGTATCTGAACACAAGAAATGATTTCAATCTCAAATTTGGGCAAACCCCAATTCACCCATCTATACATCACTTGCATAAATGTGCTGAAAATGTTGTACTTCTCTGATCACCATTTGGTTTGGAGAACTTCTTTAATTAACTTCTTTAATTAACTTCTTTCACACTTTCTCCTTGTCACAGACTGTGGAATATGCCTTCTTCACGACCATTCGAAGTAAAGATAGTAAAGTCAGTAAAGTAATGAGTATAAGGACGAAGCGTGCTTTGACACTTAAGTTTTATCAAGTTTTGGGATGAAAAAAACTCTCTCTGGCTCCTGGCAAAGCAAGTTTCCAGCTCGAATGACGTAGGGCTTTGCCCTGTTGCCATAAAGCCAGCAAAACCTCATTTTTTTACGGCCCCCTGGGGATGTGTCAAAACCTGGGGAAACCCGAACAGCAGCAAATATGGATGTTCATTATTGTTCATTCATCCCCCTTTGGTATCCCAAGGCTCTTCAGTCAATGATGACCAGCGATTCCAGCGATTGCTGATATTGCTGCCCTGCCAATATAGATCTCAGGCTCTGGCAAAGCTAAGCTCAACATGATGGCGCCCAGAGTCAGAGTAGAGATGTAGAACGCTCGGACCAGAGCCCTAACACAATCTGAAAGGCTACAGGCTCAACAAGCTCAATGCCATGGGTTAGCTCGTGATTCACAGGCCCATGACACAAGTGGCGCCTCTTCTCCACGAAACCTAGGCTATGCTTCAGGTTTCATGATTGAGAAGGCCTTTTCGTGTTATGACTGGGCCAGGACAACAGTACTAGATTTTTCAATATTGGGCTATGTTTTGACACTTATCCAAAGATAAGAACAAGGCCCGATGTATGTCCTGGTGGAATGAAGCTGGTACGGCTACATGTTTGGATAATGTCACTGGACTCCAAAAAATTTGGGCAAAACTCCTATTGGAACTGGTGCAGTGCTTTCTGTGCAGCCTTCTGTGCAGCGTTTCAGGACATTGATCAGTTCTACGGAGAAATTTCACAAAGCTGACAGATTCCTCCATCCTCCGCTACCATCCCTGGTGAAACCACAGCACATTGCGCAACAGGCCACTGATGAAACCAGCAAAGAAGACCGTGGCCATCGCTACGAGGCTCAGCAACATCAGCACCACCTGGGCCAGTCAGGCTGCCTGCTGGTGTCAGGCATTGCTGGTGATTGCTGGTGCAAGCGCTGAATGACTGAGACTCAGGCCATGATGACGAAGAAGCTGGGAAACCATTGTTCCCATGCAAACTTTGAGTAGTAGAAAAACCTAAGAGAACTGTGTAACTGTGGCTGCAAAAAGATGTGCACAATTTGCTCTTCCATCAAGATGGTCAAGATGGTGACTTTTGTTGTAAAATGATCATACGAAACAGAATCTCATGTAGTGGTACACATATTGGATCACGTTGATGCACCCTATCAACATGCTGTCGCTATCACAAGCTGTCTGCTATCATCCAAGCGGCGCATTGGATGACAAGGTGTTGAGTCCGGCGACCAAGGCCTAGGCGCTCGAGCCAGTGGCTGGTGGTCATTGGGGTTCGCGAACCAGGTTCCTCCGGGTTCCTCCGGGTTCCAGGTCCCCTGGGCGCTCGTTCCAAGACAGTCAGCACGAAGACACCCAAGGCCACCAGCAACAAGCCCAGCTTGGCCTGGCTAAGATGACTTGGGATGGCCAGCAAAAAAACATCAAAAAAACCATTCCATTCGCATTTCAGTTTTGGAAAATGCTGGCACCGAGCCCTCAGAAAGTACTTCAGCTGCTTTTGCGGCTTGCAATTTTCGATGAGGTAAGAACATCAGCAAATCCCTTCGTGAATTCAAAGGCATCCGCACCAAATGATCACTGATCCAGCGGCAACAGTAGCCGCTGCAACCTGCCATGAGAGACCCCAAGACCCGGCTGAAAGTCTAACTCGGAAAAAAAACGGGTGGCCCAGGACAGTTTATGGTCCTCTGGCAGTCATGCCGCAGTGACTTCAAAAGAATCGGATTCGTTCAACGATCAGAACTTTGCTGAACACAAACACCGCAAAGAAAGCAGTGTTCTTCGGTTGTCAGAGCTGTCAAAACTGATGCATTTTTTTTTATGGCATGCGAAAGGGCGAGTTAGCAAGGACATGATCTTACCAAACAAGGTAGGCAGTGCTTTATCAAAGATTGCTTTCCTTCGCGCTGCCCCCGCCGTTTGGTCTGGAAGGGGGCAACAAGCAACCATGAAATTTGCAAAATTGCACCAGGCGGCAATCTCTTTCTTCTATCTCTGGCTCCGACATCACAAAGCCTGATTTGTTGCAGCGCTGCCATCGACATCTCAAGCATGAAGATCTATCACCCAATACAATCCATCCCTGGGGCATTCGGCAAGTGAATGGCAAATGATCTACCAATCTACCATGATCTACCTGTACAATGCACGTTGATCTCATAAATTGGTTGAGACCCCAACTTTCCTTCTGGCCAGCCGGTTTCGGGAAAGTCGGGTCAAACCTTGCAGAAACAGCTCAAACTGCGATCCTGAGATGTATGCAACGCTGCAAATGTGCTGCTTCAGCAAGACGCCTATAGGTTCCTCCACATGGCAAGCTGGCAAGCTGGCAAGCTGGCAAGGTTCAGCTGAGATATGGACTGAGCTCCCCCCTGCCTAGTGCGCCGTGTGCGCCGTGTGCGCCGTTTTTTTCCGTGCCGTCCCAGGAACTAATCCAACAACGCCAAGTGCCCAGCCACTTGGTGCTTGTGCCTGGCGAAATCTGCGTAGGACCCATGCGCCTGGCAATGAAGCCACAACTTTGTGGTAAACTAATGAAACATGAGGGGTTTTATCTAATGAAACAATATGAAACATCAACTTGGGATTTTGGCTGAATACCAGGTGATGACCAAAAATCACCAAAATGTACATGTTAGGTAAACACTGGGCAAAGCGAAAATCACCTCCTGGGGTCTGGTTTTTCATTGCAATGGGATGCAGCCAGGAAATCCGAGCAGAATTGAAAAGATCCCCACTTTGCCAACTTGGGTCGGCGAGACTGACCACCCAGCCTTGGGTATGCAAAAGGCTAAAGGGGGCCGAACCATCCCTGTTTGAATGTTTTGAATCCACTGAGGTCTCCGCCCAACTTGCATTCCAGGTGGGCCTAAGCTGAGATCCAGGCTATGTTGCTGAAAAATCATCGGGATCCAGCGGCAATGCACAGTTGGACTTCTGCTGGTTGAAAAAATACAGAGACTGCAGACAAAGATGGCCATCTTTCCTCCAATCGATTCATCCAAAAATGCAATCACACTGCCAGATGGTCAAAGACAAGCAACCCATGTAGGGCTGCGTCGGCATTGATCCTATCGACATGGCTGCTGAGCCACTGGAAATAGCTACAAATGATGACTGGCCAGTCAGGGTGGCACAAGCATGATCGAGCATGTTATATTGAATCCAAAGTCAAGAGCTTTGGATGGCAGAATGTATTTCGAATGTATTTCGATGCAAAGACGTTTTGGTACCTCTCTGTCCCTCGAACAGGCAGTTCACTGTGACATTACAGCGTGATGTCTTCGATGTACCCACGTCTTACAGAGACATAAGTGCTTTCTACCTTGAGATTCCTTTGACGCACTGGAGTAAAACTCGGGGCACTTCGTTTGGTTCGTGTGAGTCCCATCAACTTGCGGCTGTCCAACGTTCAAAATGACTTAAGGATTCACTTGGCGCAGCAACAAGTGTCTATGTTTGTCAGCAAGAAGTTCCTATGAAGTTCCTATAGTTACAAAGGCTGCCAAGAGAAATTTCTTGCTTCAGTATGTTCAGTCGCTACAGGTTATCTGAGTTATCTGCTCCTCCACCATGAACCAAACGCTGGCGGAACCGGCTGCCCATCCAGGCCCCTGAGCTCAATCTTTTTGACGCACGGCGCCACGTCTGGAACAAGGAGCACTATGATAGTGGCACTATGTATGCCTTAAACTACTTGATCCTTGGACTGCTTGGACTACTTAGTGACTACTTGGACATCCTGGAACATGGAGGTAAGCTGACACTCACAGGAGTCGAGCCTAATTTCTTTTTCAAAACGGCTCTTGACCGTGCACTTGCGCGACTTTGCAGGGCTCAGGAACATGTTGAACACGTTGTCATGCAGTGTTCATTGCAGTTTAGCACATTGTGTTTAAACCACTGAGAATGAACCAGAAGATGGCACTTAAAAAGCCACTTCCTAAACACACTCCCTGCTGCACACAAGCTCTCTTGCGCTTTTCATGGGTTTGGCAACTGCTGCTGCCCGAACAATCCAGTCACCTTTGCATGTTGACCAAGTGAGACAAGTGCCCCAAATGAACGACATTCCTACTTTCACATGGTTGTCCTCAACAATAATTCAATGTTTTCCCCTTCAACCTTTGATTGCTGTTTCATCACGAAACAGCATGGCACGTTCAACCTTTGGTGGTCAACAAGCCCGGAAGAATGGAGACAACTAGCTAATCCAAAGTCCAGGTTCGGTTCTGTCGGAGAAGTCTGCGTGAGAATACGAGAATGGAAAACGGGTCCACTCAAAGTAGACTAATACAATGGGGTGGAGCCCTTTTGAAGCATGAAGCATTTCTTTTTAGAAGTAAACGTTTGCTCATTCTGGTGGTTCAAGGTGTACTTAGTTGGACCCATCTGGAAGCTCAAAAAAAAATCCGCGCCGCCGCTCCCAGTGCAAGTGTTGCCAGGGGCTGAATCTCAACAAGTCGACGCCATGATGTGATAAGAAGGTGGCAGAAGAATACTGTCTAGAGATCTGCAACATGGAAATGTCATATGATATGTGCATGTATGTGATTTATATATAATATATAATATATAATATATAATATATAATATATAATATATAATATATAATATATAATATATAATATATAATATAATATATATATATATATGTATGTGGGTAGATGGATATGTATCTATAGAGATAGACATAGCATGACATAACCATAGACATAGACATAGATACAATTTGTGTTCTCTTGTGAGCTGCAAATGTATGCGCATTAATATATATATATATATAAAACACATGTGTATGGTGTTTATCTATCATAGACATACAACGTATATACATGTGTATATATATATATATATTGTGTGTGTATTGTGTGCCAAATCCAGAAAATGCATGTGCAAATGCCAAATAGTACATATGTGTAAGAACGTGTAAAATTGTGCAAATGTGCAGTGTGACCCATGTGCAAAATTCAAAAGTTTCCTAAACTTAAAGCCTAGGTGGCTTGACGACATCTTATCACTTCCAAAAGCTGATGAGTTCAGGTTGCCGGGTGCGAGTGTACCCGGCCTACAGCAAACCGCTCAGCCGCTCAGTATGAGAATTCAGCACTAGAGACAGCGCGAGGGATGTGAAATTCAGCCTTTTCTTCTGGGCTTTGGGACACCAACAGCCCCAGGGAACCCCAGATGACCTTTCTTCATCTTCCACAGCTGATACCAACAGAGTGACTTCAGAAAATGCCAATAGAGTGGAGTTCCGCGTGAGCTGAATTCCAATCAAATTTCTGCTTCCAACCTACTTCAAGATCCTGACGGTCCTAGCTGTGTTACACAGGGCCCCTTTATCAACAGCCAAACACAGCAGCTTCCAGTCGAATCATCGGATGGGGGAAATACTGGCCAAAGAAACACAACACACGTTTCCACAAAATGAACTCCCAAGGAGCACTTGCCGCAAGATCTCAATCCTTGGTTTCCGTGTGTGCCAGTTGGATTTAGGGGCATATGAAATGGATTGCTGTGCGATTCTGAAGGCCCGATGCAAAAAAAACAGGGGAACTAAACAGCTGGCACGTCAGGCCTCAAAGTGTCACGCCTGTGCAACGATTGAGGCATTTCCAAACATGCGGCACCCCCCGTTCAAAGCCTTTGGGCCTAGTTCTTCTCTGTTCGGAGGTAAAAACACATCTCTGGAAATCCATCTTCTACTCACTCCTTGTCGTCATTCGTGGTGCTGGCCTACCCGTGTGGGAGGATGCAAACCAATGCACCACGGGTCCGTACAGGCAATGCATTTACACATAATATATGCACTTGGTAAGTATATTATATAGATATCTATACATATCCACTGTCTATATGTATTGAGTGTATATATACATACATTACATTACATTGCACTACACTGCATTGCATTGCATTGCGTTACATTAAATTACATTATATTATATATATATATACACATTTTGTGTATATATATATGTATATGTATGTATGTATGCATGCATGTATGTACGTACGTACGTGCGTAGGTATGCATGTATGCATGTATGCATGTATGCATGTACGCATGTACGCATATACGTACATACGTACGTTCGTTCGTTCGTTCGCTCGCTCGCTCGTTTGTATGTATGTATGTATGTATGTATGTATGTAAATATATATATATATATATACATGTGTATATATACATGTGTATATAATTGTATATATATATATATATAGGGCTCAGCCCTGCAACCCCCCTGCCCCCACCATGGTCATGGTCCTGTATGTACGCTGTATGTTGGAGGCTTTGTGTAGGATGTAGTTGACATGTCGCGTAGCATATGTATGATCGATGTAGGGTCTACTTTACCCCCGCCCCCCCCTGTGGGGTGGGTGCGGGCTGGGTAGTGTGTCACTGGGACAACTAGGATGTAAGGCAGTAAGTGGGTCGTATGTGGCCAGCATGTAAAAGATCCATCTAGGGTCTACTTAACCCCTGCCCCCCCCTGTGGGATGGGTGGGGTGTTATAGAGGTATCATGTAGATAGTGTATAGGTAGTATGTGGCTAGCACGTATGTATAGCACATGAGATCTTGATAGTAGCTAGTATATGGCTACTATAAAGGTACTTGATTGGCAGTAATACGTTGTAAATAGATGTAAATAGATTGTATGGGCATATAAAAAAAAAACAGTAGTGAACACTGCATGGAGGTATCCTGTTGTGTAGTGCAAAGGTGGCACGAGGCCAGCACTAGCCATCCCCGTGGGGGGTTGCTGGGGGGGCTGGGGGGGGATAGCGTTGGGGGGGGTTGCCGGGTGCCGGGCGGGACCATATATACACATCCATATATAATGCATTTATATATACATATACACATCATATATGTCATATCCAGATATGTAATGACAATTGGTTATATTTATATTCATAATTATATTTATTTATATGTCTCTATTTATGTTTATATTATTAAATAACGTAGTATAATATGATGTAATATGATATAATATGATATAATATGATATAATATGATATACTATGATATAATATGATATAATATGATATAATATGATATAATATGATATTGAACAGAGAAATTGGGCTCTTAAATCTGATGAACACTCCTGAGCACTGTTCAGCACCTTTTCACTCGGTTAGCTCGAAGGTAGCTAAAAGCACTAAAATGGCTAAAATGGCTAAAATGGCTGCAGCACATATACAAACATATGTACTACATGTAACATGGTCTATACTGTACACATATCTGATCACGCCTCCCGAGCCTGTTCGGAGGCACGGTGAGTCCAAGTGTTTTGAACTAGGCGAGTTTTGATATGTACAGCGGAGCATAGCCACGACTCAAGCCATCTATGCCTTCAGTGTCAGGTGATGTTCACCTTCCAGAAAGTGAAAGTTCATATTCCGCAGTGCCTTGTTCATTTTCTCCTCTATGACGGGTTTCGTCAAGACGTCGGCAAGCATATCGCCAGTGTCGACCTTCTTCAGCCGAAAGTAGCGCTTGGCAACGCGGTCTTGTACCCAATGGTATTGAGTATCCACGTGCTTGGCCTTGCCTAATCCTCTACGTGAACCCATTGCTATTCCTGCACTTGCATCCATGAAAACTTCACTCTCAGGTTGCAAACCCCAGTCTTTGGCGGTTGAAACTTCTCCCAGCAAATTGCTGGCACCGCTCACAAGAGCGTAATACTCACTCTCTCCAGACGAAAGACTAACAACTCCTTGTCCTTGGAATAAGTCTTGATACAACAACCACCGGCCATCAAGACGCCTCCTGACACGCTCTTCCTCGTCTTCACGCATCCAGCGTGGTCAGCATCAGACCACATCACAAATGGACTGAGTTTGTTCTGATGAGGAAAGAATTGTGCCATGCGTGGTCGATACCTGAGGTATCGTGCAACTCTTTTGAGCATAAGCATGTGGCTGGTAGTTGGTCGTTGTAGCCCTTGTGCTAAAGATCTTGTTGCTACTTGCAGATCTGGTCGGTCTTGTGCCAAATAAGCTGCTCGCATTGCAACTGATCTATACTGGGTTGCTTCTTCATCGTTGAGAAAAACAGCGGCATCCTTAAGATCTTCCACTGATCCTTTGGCAAGTGGTGTCTTGACTTTGGCTCCTCGGGGACCATCTCCGAGTAAATCAATCACCAACTCTGCGTGACGTGCATCTGGTTCCCACCAAATTCCATTCTCCTTCCATGTGATAATTCTGTTCAGGACTCTGATGTCCTGGATGGTGTTTGGTGTTCCTGGTGGTCCTAAAATACCACGTTCCACACATTTCCACTTCTTTGACAGCTCTTCATGAAGCCATTTGATGTTGTCAAATGTTCCTGCTGTTGTAAAATCATCTCCATGTACAACAGTTCTGAGGTCTCGGCCTGCATGGTAGTATATGCATGGATTGCTTTTTCCTTGCTTGAAACCTAAGGCCAACATGACCTTCTGTATCTGCAACTCCCAGTTGAGAGGTGCATCTCTGGTTCCATACAATGACTTGAGCAATCTTCCTACCACATCTTCTCCAGGCTTCTTTGCTTCTGCAGGAAGCTCCACGTAAATCTCGCGCGTCGCATCTGAATAAAAGTGAGCGCGTTTCACATCCAGGAATCCTAGAAGTCTACGCTTGCGATAGGCTTCCTTGACAGCTTTTCCAGCGTCTGGCAACTGAAACGTCACGGCTATTGTAACTAGCATCTTCAAAGCAGACAAACTGGGCATGGCTGCGAAGAACTCATCAAAACCTGAGCCCTTCTTGACTTCTTGAGCTACTAACCTACTTCTATAAAGTGGATTCTCTTCATCCTGCTTGTTGACATCTACCCATCGTGTTCCAATGGTGCGTACCCCTTTGGGCATCTTGTGTCTGGGAATCTTTTCCCAAACTGGAAAACTTTCAATGATTTCGACCTCATCTTTTCTGGCTTGTTCTACACCTTTGCTGTCTAAAATCTTTCCACTGATATCATCATAATAATACCATGTAGCTGCTTCATCTTCCAACTCCGGTGGAAGAGGAATTGTCTCTTCACAAACTGGTTCTTCTTCACCTTCAATGGACTGAAGATACCTCTCCCGATCTTCCATGATCAGGTTCATAAGACATTGGTCTATATCATCCATGTCATCTGGTCTCTCATTCTCAGGTGGCCGCTTGGTGCCCTTAGACGCCTGAGCTGAAGCAGCTCGGCTGTCTTTGGGTTTTGACGTTTCGCCTCCTGAGTCTGCAGGTCTTTTCTGACCTTTGGTTGGTGACATTTCCAACCTCTTGCGTGACCTTTCTTCTTGTTCGCCTCCTGCCCTCTTGGCTGAGGCTGAGCTTACACTAGCTCCTACTCCAGTTGCAGTAGGATCTTGTACAGCTGGTCTCTGCATTGGACCGGCTGTAGAAGCTTGTACTACATCAGGTCCAGTAGTTGGCAAACTTGGCGCTGATTCCCCTGTGGCAGAATACCACAGCTCGGTAACGATACCTGTGTCATCAATCAACGGTGCGTTGATGACGTCTTCTCCTAAGTTAGGATCTATTGGTTCAGACTTAATCATGTCTCCTGTCTTGAACTCTCTGGTGACTCTCCACCAGACGTTATCCCAGTTGGGACCTTCTGGCATAGTACCCTTGAGATACCTTGCATTCTTGTCAAGGCGTGCAAACACCTTGAAACCTTGAGGGACTCCTTGTGGTCTCTCACTTGAATATCCATAAAGGATCTGGGTGCCTTCTTCGGACACTTCCAGTTTCTGACCAGTGATTTCAGAATCAACCTTGGCTGTATGTTGGGCTACTCTCAGGTTGCCCTCTTCTGCTTGAAGCAGACGTTCCATCCTTTCTCTGCAGGCAGGAGTGTGATGAACTCCAGTGCCTCTTTTGCCAATTCTAGTGGCATCACAGGCGACACAACCGGCGGTGTAGCCATACTTGTCCAAATCACGTTTGGTGATGTAAAGTCGTCTTGTCGACTTCTTTGGTGGCTCAACTGGCACTGATGGCGCCAGTGGCTGCTGATCTCCCTCAACAATCTGAGGAAGCAAAATGTCATCTCTTTTTGATGCCTGGGGATCCCAAGGAACCCCAGTGACTGACATCAACGTTTCGACATCATATCTGTCGTCCGCACTCTTGCGTCGAATGCTTTGCACAGTGAAAACACCTGATGCATTCCCCACTATCTTTTCAGTGGTATTGTCTTTGGCTCCCAAGAAAACTCCTTGGTGCCATCTTTGTTCAAACTTGTGACCTCTTTTGAGGAATTCAATTGTTTCCCCAAACGGTGGTAATGACACTTTCCACTCATGACCACGGTGTCTAGAGTACGGTGTCTTCCCATCTTTGACTTCCAATGATCTGTGAAACAAATTGTAAGTGGTGCTAGCATGTTCAACCAACCATGTCAAAACTGGGTGGTCGTCTGGCACCTTTCTTCCATAGCTTGTCTCCAAGGCACTTCTGAGTGTCCTGGATTGAGATTCAATAGCTTGAACTGCTCTTTCAATTTCCCCTTTGGATTCTGAGACTCCTTTGGGAACTTTTTCCAAAACCAACTGTTTGTCAAAACCATTCTTGGCTGCCTCAACTACGGAGTTGAGTGCCGGCTCTGGGTCATATCTCATGACCATCTTGGGGTACCCAAACTTCTTAAGGTCATTCAAAAGACACTTAGATCCAATAGGACCTTGGGTAACTCCCTTGTACGGCAAAGCGTGTGCGTAGGTCAACTTG